AATGAAAGAATAAAAAGAAAATGGAATTAGAATTGAGCCATGGATATAGTATGTATTGTTTGACTCATAAAAATACCTGCTTCTACAAGCTTATACCATTGCTTTGGACAGTGAAAAGACCAAATATGTATAGGCCTTAATTATCAAACTGTAGGACTTCCTAATGAAACATTATATGAAAATGTATAATTATTTTTGTGGGTTAGGAATGATTCAACTTCATGTTTGCTTATTATATAGATGCTCTGAACAGTATATTACAGCTTCTTACCTCATAATGACACAGACTATCTAATGTTAGGGTGCCTTAGCTCAGGTCTCCTTCCAGCATTCTCCTTATGAGCACATAATGCCAGACACTGAGGTGCCATCAGAGAGACTCCCAGAACCATACTGTGTGTACTTCCTCCACAAACCCCTTACCCACCTCCTTGACCCAATAACTCTATGTCAGTTCTTTGAATATTAGACATGAGGGAGCATGTATCTGGGAGACTGTTAACCTTCTCCCCCCAGCCAGCCTAGGCCTGGAGCTCACACCGGCAGAGATGTTGGCCCTGCCCCTGTGGGCCTATGTCGTCAACTCAGGATTGCTTAGGAAGATACTTTATCTCCTTGAGACCACTAGGGAACTATTGAGTATGGTGTAGACGTAACAGATTAAATGATTTCAAGGAATGTGAGCTAATTTCCCCTCTCCCACTCCCCACCATTACCCCTTCTAACATATTCCCATTAAAGTTCATGTTAATTAGACAATTAGAACCTAACATATTCACCTTACAACAAGAAAATGGAGGGGACACACCTGGGTGGGAGGGGGGAGAGGGAGGAGGGAGGGAGGTTTCGGTGATGGGACACAATAATCAACTACATTGTATATTGACAAAATAAAAATAATAAAAAAAAAAGAACCTAACATATTCACAAAAAATTCTGTACTAACATTTAAGAACTTGAAGATTAGTGCCCTCAAATGGATAAGAACCCACCTGAATCCTGTGAGCTAGCTAAATGTAGCCAAGTTACTGATCTCCCTCTACCCCAGTTGTACTCTCTATAAAGGAGGAATAATATATAACGTATGTTTCCCAGCATAAAAGCACTTAGCATCTACTGCCCCAAGAAACAACCCTGTAGATAAGTAGAATGAAGTATAGCATTTTCATTATTTGGTGACTATGCCCCCTTACCTATACATGACCCCTGCGAGTAGACCCTCTGGGAAGCACAATGCCTTTTTTTAAAACATCAGTGTTGAGTTCTGGAGGTCTGCATTGCTCTACTGTGGTTTCAAAGAGTTGATCTCCTCCTGAATGTTCAGACACAGACTCTTGGAAAACACAGAGTTCAAAATGTTAACCCTTTTGTCAAGCTTAATACAGTACTTAGCTGATAATGTTTATCTTAATAATTTTTAAGGATGTTTATCTAAATAATTTTTATCTTAATAATTTGCAAGGATTGCCACATAGATTTAACCAAAGGAAGGCTAGTTGTAGTTAACACAGACTCTTGGAAAACACAGAGTTCAAAATGTTAACCCTTTTGTCAAGCTTAATACAGTCCTTAGCTGATAATGTTTATCTTAATAATTTTTAATTGCAAGGATTGCCACATAGATTTAACCAAAGGAAGGCTAGTTGTAGTTATACTAAACTCCAACTAGTCTAAGGAGAATGGGGTTTTTTTAATGCTTAAATTAAACACTGATTTTTAAAAAGTTATATTTAATATATGTCTACATATGTCCCCTTTGTCCCAAAGAAAAAAAAAAACCTTCTACAATCTGCCTGTAATTTTGAGCTTTGAAGTTAGTACTAAAATTTCAGAAATGGCTTAAGGTTATTGATTCATTTTTCCTTGACAGGTGAAATCATGAAGCAGCACTAACCACAGCAATTATGGCATTAAAATGTCAAGAAATTAGAGGTCAGAATAACAGATAATTTTCTTCTCTATGTCAGATTAAAAATTGACATTCTTTGACAGCTTAGGATCTCTGGCTGAAAAAATTTTGACAGCTTAACTTATTTTATACTTGTAAAG